TGGTAGCAACAGATGTAAGGACTTGATGACATTATGGCTGTGATTCTCTTTAGTGTCAGTACTCTTGGGTATTCTGGTCTATTCTTCCAAGGACTGGGGTTGATATTCTCATTTGACCTTAGGGAACTTGATTAGCCAAGGATGCCCACAATAGCATAGATTTGGGCAACCAGAAGATGGTCCCTACCAAGTGCACGTGGCAGGGAGTGTGTTTGGAAAATGTGTTAAACGTTAAGAATTCCTTTGTCCTTCTCTGTTTCATTCTCTCCATAGTAATTTTACACACATGTGGGTTGTAGTGTGACAATTCAAGACATGTGTTAAGTGTTCAATGAACACATCAGGATAATTGGTATAGATTACCACACAGAGATTATTCATTGTCTGTGTTGGGAGCATTTGAAATTCTCTGTACTCTCGATTTTGACATTTCATTAATTGTCGTCACCTATAGTTAATTGGTTGTGCTGCTCAGTGTTAGGAGTTATTTCTGCATCCACCTGCTTCCCTCTACAGAAAACATTCTATCACACGTTTGTGGGATAAATTGATTTTGCGTTCCCTCTCCCTACTTCCTTCCTCCTCCTTTTCCTTTCCTTGTTATCTTCCCCCTTATTTGTCTCCTCTTTGTTTAACATTCCTCAGGATAACAATTTCTACTTAGTTATAAAAGGAACCAACCAGATGAATTATCTTGGGACATTTGATGATAAAGGTATCAATCTAATTTTCTCCTTCAGTGGGAACAGTGTGTTCTCCACTATCCCCTCCCCGAATCTTTCCTTTGTCCTCTGCCGCTCTACCTGCTCTCCTCTCCCCTTTCCTAAAAACGACCACAGGTTTCATCATTCCGTTTTCACGATTGTAGATAAAGTTCTTCAAGCTTAGTCACCCTCCCTCCCCAGCTGATACCCATTACCCAACAGTGTCTGCTTTGCTTTCCTGTCACTTTTTGTTAGTGTACATGAGTTGTACTAAGGAGTTTCATTGTAGTGTTTTGCATATGAGCATATATTATATCTTAATCAGAATAATGCCATCTATTGCTTTCTCTTTCTTCAATACCATGCTGAGGAGCAGAGGGAGAGAGAGAGAGGGGGAGGGAGGGAGGGAGAGGGAGAGGGAGGGGGAGAAAGAGAGAAAGGCCAGGGACAAGATAAATCCTTCCCTGAGATCCACTCTATCCAACTTGTCCTCACCTCCTTGCATCTTCTCCCAACAATGCCACTAAGTTATGATCTATCTATGGATGAATCCCCTGATAAATTAGAGCCTTTATGATATAATTACTACCCTATCATCTGGCATCCAAGATTTTTTATACATGAATCTTCTTTTCCTTCCTTCCTTCCTTTTTTTTTTTTGGCCAGTCCCGGGGCTTGAACTCAGGACCTGGGCACTGTCCCTGAGCTTCTTTGTGCTCAAGGCTAGAACTCTTAACACTTGAACCACAGCTCCACTTCTGGCTTTTTCTTAGTAGTTTATTGGAGATAAGAGTTTCATGGACTTTCTTGCCTGGGCTGGCTTGAATCGTAATCCTCAGATCTCAGCTTCCTGAGGAACTAGGAATACAGACCTGAGCCACTGGTGCCTGGCCCTGTATATAAACTTTATTTTGTGTGATACTACAGCATCTATACACTAACATTTGATACCTCAATTTACATCTTTTGGTATTGACTATTAGCTATATAGTCAATAATAACTTATTAAATTAGTTATTATTATTATTATTAATATCATTATTATGATCCTGGAGACAGGATCTCACTATGTAGTTCATGGTGGCTGAGAATTGGCTTGTCTGCTGCCTCAGCCCCTGAGTGCTATGGTTAGAGGTGTATATGTACCACCATGTCTGATATAGTTATTATTTTAAATTATTTTCATTTTAGCTTTCATACTTTTGGCATCAATGGCCTATTTGCCATATCTATAATATTTGAATATTCCTTTTATATCCGTGTAACTACTCTCCAGTGAGTTTTATACCTTCTTATGTTTTCTTTCCTTCTTACCCACAACTATCTTCCTCTCTCATTGAAGAATTTCTATTTGTATTTTTTATGGGATAGGTCTGGTAGAGATAGATTCTGTTGCTTTTCTTGTCTGGTAAAAGGCTTGTATGTAAAAGGTTGAGATAAATGAGAGTGTACATTTTATATATGTATTTGCTTAAAGAAACTCAAAAGAAGCATGAACCCTATAAAAGTGGAATGAGTAAAAACAAGAAAGGAATTGAGAATATAGAATAAATCATGTCATTTATATATCTTTGCATTTTATTCTAAGCCTTCTGGATATATTACCTGTACATACAATTAAAGATTAAAACTTGAAGTAACTTTTCAAAGACAACATGTACTTACCTAATGGTACAAGATGATTTAAACACAAAAGCATGGAATAAATTAATAGAAAAAATGGATCATGGTAGAAATGTAAAGCTTGAAAACGTAAGAGACATTTTACTTATTTACTGTGGAAGTGGGGAATCAAATGGAAAATTTAATCATAACCAAGATTATTAGGAAAGAAAGCATCTTTCTGGGCACCAGTGGCACACGCCTGTAATTCTAGCTACTCAGGAAGCTGAGATCTGAAGATCAAGGTTTAAAGCTAGCCCAGGCAGGAAAGTCTGTGAGATTTTTACCAATTAACCACACCTGGCAGTAGAAGTGTGGCCCAAGTGGTAGAACACCAATCTTGAGCAAAATGAGACAGTACTCAGGCCCGGAGTTCAAGCTCCAGTACTGACACAAATAGACACAAAATCAGCAAAATGCAAATCAAATGCAAACACTTGATAGACATATAAAGCTTTTCATTGTAAAATTATTTGGCTTAGACAAAAATTTGCAAACTAGTACGAAGATTATTTACTGTTTTTCTCAAGCAACATTCCCTAAATAAATGTGTTTTTCTTCACTTTTGTTATTTCTAATTTTCTCAACAAGTAAATAGGTGTATAAACATAAAGATGGCTAGAATTTTTCTCATAGAGAGGAAAGAGATCGAAGGAAGCAAACATGTAATTTTATAGCATGAATTAGTCTAGGGATCTAAGGTACAGTATGATAACTATAGTTCAAAAGATAATGCATTACTGAAAATTTGCTATGAAATTGGGTTTTAGGTACTCACTAAAAAATCCAAGCATGGAAAGTGATAGATACGTAAATCTTAAACATAGTCATTGAAAATATTCTTTTTTTGGGGGGGAATATTTGAGTACTGCCAACACAATTGACCTTTTATCTCTGGATATATCAACAATTATTTCCTAAACCAAAGCATATTCTATGAGGTAAACCTATTAAAATTATTTAAACAAGGAAATCAAAATTTATCCAAATTCTTCATGCCATTTACAGAGTTTCTCCCACAAATATCCTTTAATCTTAGTAGGAGATCCAAACCAGGTGTGCATTCAGTTGTCATCATCTTCAATGTGTATAATCCTTCAATCTTCCTTTATCTTGACACTTTTGAAGAGTGAAGGACCATGTTTTTGCAGACTGTTGTTCATGTTGGATCTCCCTTTGTGCTTTGCACGGGTAGATCTGGGTTGTGTGTTTTTGGTAGGAATGCCAATATAGTGATGTATTGCTGCCTGCTTCTCAGATGTGTCATATCAGGTGACACGCGGCAATGATTGAGCTCATTCCTCATGATGTTCACTTAGACGATTTTATATGGGGGATAGAAAGTTACACTTGCCCTCATCCTATTGCCCCTTTCACATCAGGGAATCGAGAACTGTGGGTCACAAAGTCTGTGCCTGCTTCTCTATATGCTTGTCTGGCAGGGAAGAAAATGAACCTGCACATCGGTGAGGGAACAAGCTGGGTTGGAGGAGGGTACAATCTAAAGTGCAATGCACGCTGTTTTCTGTAGACTGTAACATGCAGTTGAGTTAAAGTGACCCCCTTTATTTAAGTTCAACTGATTTTAATGATTGGAATACATTTATTTTTGGAATATGCTAATGAAAAGTTTTAACACTAGAAAAGGTATTTAATTCCAGGGTTGTATGTCTTTCCCAAGACATGTGAGTGAGTTTGACAGTGTGAGTCAAAGGCCTTGCTCGGGGCTGGTGGCTCATTCCAGGTCATCTTAGCTATTTAGGAGGCCTAGATCAAGAGGATTGCAGTTCCAGGTCAGCTCAGGAAAACAGAAAGTTCCCGGTACCCTATCTCAACCAATATGCAGGGATGGTAGTGAGTGCCTATCATCCAAGGTGTGTGGGAGTTTGAGGTTAGGTTTGTGGTTCCAAGCTGGTGTGGATGGGAAAAACCTGCTGGACTCCATCTAAATGGACACAGTTGAGTAGGATGCATGGGCTGGTGACCCCAGCTATGGTGTAGAAGTGAAAAACAGGAGGATTGTGGTTTTCGGTGTAGGCACTGGCAGGAAGTGAGACGCCATATCAAAACCAACGAGTGTAATGAAGGTTTGGAGGTGTGCCTCAGTGGTTTGACAAGACACTTCCATATTCTTTTGCTTGTTTTCTTTTTGCTGGTTCTGGGACTTGAACTCAGGGCCCTGTCCCTGAGCTTCTTTTGCTCTACCACTTGAGCCACCATGCTATACTTCTTGCTTTTTCTGATAGTTCATTGGAGTTAAGAGTCTCACAGACTTTCCTGCTTAGGCTGGCTTTGAACTGAGCTTGTCAGAGTAACACCTCTTGAGTAGCTAGGATGACAGATGTGAGCCCCTGGTGCCTGGCTACTCCATAAATTCGCTGCAGTGAATCTAAAAGAACATCTGGAATATAATTGCTTACCACTCTGGTTATCTCTAAGGTGTTACTAATAGGAGTGGAAGTTAGAATTAAAAATGAATAGGCATCTTACAATATATCTCTAAGAAAAAGTCTGTTGCAAGGGTAAAATGACAACTTGGAAGATGGACACTAGATCAAAAAATTCTATGATAAATCCTTCTGCCTCTTCCATTTGGAGTCAATAATATTACCAAGACATGACCAGACTCAGCCTCTAGTTTGCGTTTAGTTTTGTCGTCCTGATCCACAGCTTCTTCACCGCCTTCTTCACTTCCGCATTCCTCAGGGAGTAGATGATGGGGTTCAGGAGGGGAGTTATCACCGTGTAGAACACCGCCACCAATTTGTCCACGGGCAGTGTGGCAGAAGGCCTCAGGTAGATGAAGACACAGGGCACAAAGAACAGGGTGACCACGGTGACGTGGGAGCCGCAGGTGGAGAGGGCTTTGCGCCGCCCCTCAGCGCTCTGTGTCCTCAGGTGCCACAGAATGACCACATAGGATGCCAAGAGGACCGCAAAACTGACCACAGACAGGGTGCCCCCGTTGGCAACGATCAGCAGCCCAATGAGGTAGGTGTCTGCGCAGGCGAGTTTAAGCAGGGGAAGGATGTCACAGAAATAGTGGTCAATGATGTTGGGGCCGCAGAAGGGCAAGTGGAAGATGAGAAGGATCTGGCCCAACGAATGCACGAAGCCTCCCAGCCATGCTGTTCCCACCAGGACTATGCACACCTTCCGGTTCATGATGCTGATGTAGTGCAGGGGCCTGCAGATGGCCACATAGCGGTCATAGGCCATCACCGTGAGCAGGAACATCTCAATGCCACCAAAGTGGTGGAGGAAGAAAACCTGTGCCATGCAGCCCCATAGAGATATGGCTTTCCTTTCAGTCAGCAGGTCCGAGATGAGTTTGGGGGCCGTGGAGGAGGAGTAGCAGATCTCCACAAAAGACAGATGGCAGAGGAAGAAGTACATGGGGGACCCCAGGCTCCTGCTGGTGGCCACGGTGAGCACGATGAGGAGATTCCCCAGGATGATCGCTGTGTACAAGAGCAGAAATATCACAAAGCAAACCCTCTGCACCTCCCAGGTGGGAGAAAGTCCCAGAAAAAGGAATTCAGTCACATTGTGGATGTTAGCCATGTAGACACCACTAAGAGGCAGCCATCTTGTGCTCATGTGATCTGAAATAATACAAAACGAAGGGTTGTTCATGAGTGGGCATCTTAGAGCTAGCTGGGAGAGAGGAAGAGAAGCCAAGGAAGACACAGGCAGAGTGCAAGTGTGGTAGCATTGTATTGTGGCTAGATCAGAGAGGCGATGTAAAGCTCTAGCTAGATATTGTTTCTAAGGTATTTATAAGGTACCACATGATTTTTTTGTTGCTTTGTATGTATAGCTCCCGTTTTCACTGCATTCAATGTTGGTATCATTTGGGGAGGGGAAAGGAAAAAACAAATAGTTTAAATAGGGATACAGGTGAACCCATTGCAACAATGAGATGTACAAGACGCTATGTCGAAAAATGAACTTTACTACTTTGGGGAGGGGAAGAGGGAGGGGAGTGTAGTTGTGGAGATGGGAGGGCAGGGATGGAAAGGGAAAACAAAGGAGGAGGCAACAATGCTTGATAAGAAATGTACTCATTACCTCGCTCATGTAATTGTAACCCCTCTGTATGGCATTTTCACATTAAAAAACATCAAAAAAACAAAACAAAACCAAAAGCTCTAGCTAGAATACTACTAGTTCTTGAAAACCTGTCTCCTGAGTTCAATGGGGGAATTATCAAGAATGTTTGTCAACTGGAAAGTAAATCACTGTATGAAGAGGGTAGAGAAGTGCAAACTGACCAGAGGGCAGAGACCTATTTTTTTTTTAAGTAAGTCCACCCTTTGGACAATGGACAGGCAGGATGTGCTGCTGTGTCTGTGGAAGGTATCTCTGTATTGCATGGAAGGTTATCACACATTATTCACTTGCATCTTGCGTGCACTTCCTTCTCCTCGACCTCTTTCTTTCCTTGGTTTGCAGGACAATGTTCTCAATTCTCCCCAATGAACCCATCAGCATCGTTAGAAGAGCTATCCCTGGAAATTTTGACATTCAACATTCATTCCCTAAGAGGAATGGAAAGCTGATCTCCGGCCTTATTTCTGCTTTGCCTCCTAACTCAGTGGATTCCTTGATGAACTTATCCTTACCATGTAGCCCAATCCATTCCAAATTCTTCACTTTTTGGACTCTTTCATTTCCTCCAATCTTTTTTTTTTAATTTAATTTTATTTTATTTGTGAACATACTGTACAGAGGGGTTACAATTACATGGGCAGGATAATGCGTACATTTCTTACCAAGCATTGCAGCCTCCTCCTTTGTTTACCCTTTACCTCCCTTCCCAGCCTCCCCCTCCCCCCCAATCCCAATCCTTCTCCTTCCCCCCCCCCCCTTCCCCCCCCTCCACCGACGTTGTAAAGCTCGTTTTGGACATGACAACTTGTACTTCTCATTGTTGCAACAAGTCCACCTGTATCCTTAAACAACTGGTTTTTCCCCACCTCCTCCACAAGTTATACTGACATCAAATATAGGGAAAGCAGGGGTTATACTGTGGGGGAGGGACATACAAAGCAACAAAGAGATAATCTTATAAATGCGTTAGAAACACATGCATGAAAGAAAAAAAACCTTAAAATACATATCTAAGGGTTCATTTTCCTGACATCACATTATCTGACCTTTTCCGCTTGACTCATACATATACTAGATATTGCAAATAAGTGAAACCATGGGACCTATGTTTCTTTGGGCCTGGCTTACTTCACTTAATATAATTTTTTTCCAAGTTTTTCCATTTCCTAACAAATGGGGCAATGTCATTCTTTCTGATGGAGGCATAGAATTCCATTGTGTATATATACCACATTTTCTTGATCCATTCATCTACTGAGGGGCATCTGGGTTGGTTCCATATCTTAGCTATGGTAAATAATGCTGCAATAAACATAGTTGTGCCGGTAGCTTTAGTGTGGTCTTGTTTGTAAACATTTGGGTAAATGCCCAAAAGTGGGATTGCTGGGTCATAGGGGAGCTCTATGTGAAGTCTTTTGAGGAACCTCCATACTGCTTTCCAAAGTGATTGAACAAGTTTACATTCCCACCAACAATGAAGTAAGGTCATTTCCTCCAATCTTATACCCCCTGCACCCACAAAGCCCCTGCATATCTCTACAGTTCCCACTTACGCTCTAATGTGTTCTTTTTCTGGCAGTCTAGCTTTCTAACACTCCTGGATATCACTGCAACTCCTTGCGGACAGATTCTGCACACTGTCCATGCTGCACCTGGTCCAAGGTGCGTCATGTAACGAGACTCCCATATTGACCAAGATAGATAATTTCCATTCATACCACAAAACCATCTTCCTTCACTTATCTGTCAGGGCAAGGTGCTTAGACCACCATGAGCCCAACGAAACTCACTGAATAACTTACAGTTACAGAAACCAAGAGAACAGAGACATTCCTAAATACTTATTTACTGGAGAATTCTTCCGTTCACGGAGGAAAGCAGCACGAACAATCCAGACACTTGTGTTTACATTCAAGGGTCCCAAGTCATTGGTATATGATATCTAAAATTTCTTGAACTCTAGGTCAGTAAACATAACACACAGTTAATATGGATCTCACCCTTAGAGTCCCTATCCTTTCCCAGGATAAGTTACATTCCAGGCCAGTCATTGGCTAGATTCTGCTCAGAAGTAAAATGTTGATCTCCTCGCCCCTCACAGTCCCTCTCCTCTAAGGACATTGTGGAATTACAGAACTGACTATGCTGAATTAGAATAGTTATATGCGGTCCTCTGGTCCACTGCAGTGTGAGATTCCTGAGAGGAGAGGTCATGTCTTACCACTCCATCTCCTGTGCTTTATGAGTGCTTCACAAAGTAGCATTCAGTGAATGTCAGAAGGATGAAGGAAGAATGGAGACTAACATCACCAGCCTTCTTACCATGCTATTCAATACCCTATGTAGGAGATCATGAAATATGGAAAGACCAAAGGTTCTAAAGTTCTGATATCACACGTCATCTATCCCTGAATCTCACCAGGGCCTGACACAGTGTTTCAGTCATGCATGTGTACTTGGTGAAATGCCACATGCCTCCTGGTGCCATCCCTTTGCTTCTGAATCAGAACAAGTCACTACATGCAAAAGAAGCTCAGAATCAGAAAACCAAAACCACACTAGTGTTTCTCTGATAGTCTTACCATGGCGATCTTTTGTGTTGTGAACTGAACACAGAGACAGAAGACTTCCCTGGTCTCACATAAGTTTCCTGGTTAATCAATGGAATAGGATGTGGTCAATCTACAGAACACAGCCTTCTGTGGTGTGGCAAGATGGACCACCCATTCCCCCTGTAGACTTAGACTTGAGAGTATGGAGAATGAAATACTTGGAGGTTTCAAACTGACTTGGTATATAAACAAGAGCAAAGCAAACTTACCTGCCAGATGTGCCACGGAGGATGGAGAACTCAGACAGTTCAGCTTTATATTTACATTGCTTAAATACTAACAGGGAAGAAGGCATGATCAGGTGAGGAGACATGGGTCTTCGGGGATTTGCACCTTCACCTCTTTCTAATCAAGCCCAGCATCCCATGGGTGGCAAGCCTTAGAGTCCTTGTAGGAGACAACTTCAGAAATCAAGGAACAAAGGTGAACAAAGTAAATGTGCCCAGTGCTCGCAGAGCATCTGCCTATCTGGAGCAGTACAGAGACTGATCAGATCTCGTCTGCTCATGGTGAACTTCATCCTTTGGCTTTAGTTAAAAAAAGGCATGAATTAAGGTCCATGAATTAAGGATGACACAGGTGTCAGAAAACAGAAATAGTGCATTTCCTTGTCTGTGGCATGGAAGTGCAGATAGATAGTTTTTAGTTAGGGGTGATTCCCCCAGGGGACTTTAGTTGGTGTCTGGAGGCATTTTCTTTTTTTCTTTTTTTTTTAAATTGTGAAAATACTGTACAGAGGGGTTACAACTACATGGGCAAGATAATGAGTACATTTCTTACCAAGCATTGTAGCCTCCTCCTTTGTTTCCCCTTCCCATCCCTTCCCATCCTCCCTCCACCCCCCCACCCAATCCTCCTCACCCTCCCCGCCCCCCACACCAGTTTTCGACATAGAGTCTTGTACATCTCATTGTTGCAATGGGTGCACCTGTATCCCTATTTAAATGATTTGTTTTTTCCCTTTCCCTCCACAAATTATACCAACATCAAATACAGTGAAAGCAGGGGCTATACCATGGGGGAGCGACATACAAAGCAACAAAGAAATAATCTTATAAATGTGGTAGAAACAATTGCATGAAAGAAAAAAAAAACTTTTGAATACATATTTTAGGGTTCATTCCCTAACATCAACTTATCTGATCTTTTCTGCATCTCTCAGACATATACTAGATATTGCAAATAAGGGAAACCATGGGACCTATGTTTCTTTGGGCCTGGCTTACTTCACTTAATATAATTTTTTCCAAGTCTTTCCATTTCCTAACAAATGGGGCAATGCCATTCTTTCTGATGGAGGCATAGAATTCCATTGTGTACATATACCACATTTTCTTGATCCATTCATCTACGGAGGGGCATCTGGGTTGGTTCCATATCTTAGTTATGGTAAATAATGCTCAATAAACATAGCCGTGCTGGTAGCTTTAGTGTGGTCTTGTTTGTGAACATTTGGGTAAATGCCCCAAAGTGGGATTGCTGGGTCATAGGAGAGCTCTATGTGGAATCTTTTGAGGAACCTCCATACTGCTTTCCAAAGTGGTTGAACAAGTTTACACTCCCATCAACAATGCAGTAAGGTTCCCTTCTGTCCATATCCCCTCCAGCATCTGTTGTTATTAGAGTTCTTGATTATAGCCATTCTAACTGGGGTGAGGTGATATCTCAATGCTGTTTTGATTTGCATTTCTTATATGGCTGGGGAGGTTGAGCATTTCTTCTTGTCTATTGGCCATCCTTCTTTCTTCTTCAGAGAAGTTTCTCTGTAAGTCTTTAGCCCACTTATTTATTGGGCAGTGGTTTCTTTGAGGATTTGTTGTTGGGGGATTTAATTTTTTG